GACTCCCTTGGTTGTTGAAACTTTGATTTGTGGTCAGAATTGGCTTCAATCAAGTACTCTTCCAATTGATATGGAAGAGAAGTTTGAGGGAATTGAATAACTTGAGCAAGGTATGAATTTGATCAATAATTTGGTTTTAACATTTTATCATTTGTTTAGACTAATATTAATTTATTTGGGGTGTTGTTAATTTTGCAGGGTTAAAAAGAGTTTTGCTTGGATGATAGTACTATTATGAGTGATTTGGTTGATGATGATTCAAAAATTATGTATTTGAGATTATGAGTGATGTAGTTGATGATGCTTCAAAACTTATGTATTTGAGATTATGAGTGATGTGGTTGATGAATATTGAAATGGTGTAGTTTATAGAGGTAATTTGCATTTTGTTTATTTGATATGGATTTCTCGTAAGGTAATTTGTACATATTAGATGTAGTTTGCATTTTTTTTAATTTGATTTGGATTTATCTTAAGGTAATTTGAACTTTTTAGATGTAATTAAATTTTCTGGAATTAATTTGAATCTTTTTTAATTAATTAGCATTTTTGTATGGTATTTTGGATTAAATTTAATTTTATGGAATTTTGATAAATAAATTTAAATTTTTTGGTATTTAATTAGAATTTTCTGAAAATTAATTTGGTATTGAAGAATAAAATAGGCTAATATCGTAAAAAATGAGCTGAGCCGACTTTATACCCCTACTCGACCTAACTCAGCAGGGCCAGATAGGGTCAAATGAGGATAGGGGTAGGCTGAATGTTTGATCCTACAGGGCTGAATTTTTAGGGTAGTAGCAGCCTAGCAGGGCCATGACTGGGTTTGGCCGAGTTTCTTCCCTAATTGGTGTAGAAGTTCGATTAAATCTTGGTTAGTGAGTATTTTTCTTATTTCCTTTGATTCTCAGCTAATTGTGCAATTCTTTGTAGCTTTAGTCTCTGGATTGGTTGTTGTGCTCAAATAGGAGTGCTAATAAAGGGGTGGGGGAGGGGGAACTAGTATCGTCCCTAAGATTCAAACCTTGTTCACCTTTTTTTTTTTTTTGTTAGGATGTCCTTTGCCGTATTTCCTTATTTTTAAGGAATCTTACTACTTTTGATAATTATCGGTAACTTTTATCTTTTTTTGTGCAATCAATCATTGTTTCCTCTTACTTTTAACAAAGATGAGCCGAGCGTTTTTATGTTGGTATGGTCATAGTCTCATAGAGAGACTATCGGGGTGTGTATAACGATTTGCCTTTGGTTTTCTTGGTGTTGCACGTAGAGGTGAAAATTTTGATTTCCAATTTATTCTAATTCATCCACTTAAATATCCAACTAATTCAATATGTTTGATTCAAATCTAATTGGATTAGTTGATTCATGCATTATTGAAAAATTATAGTTTGATACCTATACTTTTAACATTATACAATTTGGTGCCAAACGACTTTCCAAATAAACTTTTTCATTGAAAATCTATATTTGAATACCTAATTTTTTTTAAATTAGATTTTAGCACCTAAACTTTTCAAAATTTACATATAATCCAATGTTGAGATACCACTTGGATCCATTATCTAATCCGTCAATCTATTTTATCTATGCATCCACCAATCCTTGGATTTATAGGTAGACAATCAAAACGGCTAAGCATTGGCGGTTTGAGGAAGAGGGAACTTGGAAGCCACCATTTCCAAACATAGCAATTAAATCTCACACATTTCCTATTTTATTCCAACCATACAACTTTTCTTCTTCTGATTTTTTAGCATAAATCTTACATTTTTACATAGATATCCCAAAAGGACATCAAGATATGATATAATACAATGAACCATTTCAAACGGGACATTTAAAATGAGTCAATTTTAATTGTCAGTCCCCCCAACCCCAAACAATTGTAATTGCCCCAAAATGAGACCATTTGAAATTCCCTAGGCACAATTGCTTCTATATGAGTTTTGTGTTGCCAAACGGATTAATTTGGCCATATTATCTCGAAACGAAACAATTGGGTCAAACTTATCCGTTAGAATTTCTCATCCAAATGACCTCTTAGGGAAACTTCAAAGGATACTCTAACTACTTTCTAATAAAAAAATATTTATGTGCAGTTTCATTACTATCTATATATATATATATATATGGTGGCGTCTTCGGTGCACTCACTTTTTTGGGTGCATTCAGTGCACTCGCTTCATAATCGTCATTTTAAACATGAGATTTATGTCAAAATGATGTCATTCATCACTTATGATGTGATGAACAATAACGCACATGAATTTTCAAAAAAAAAACCATGAAAGATTTGCTTTAATTTGAAGGATTTTGAGTTTAAAGATCTAGGGTTACGATTAGGGTTTACAGTTTGGGGTTTAGGGATATAACTCAAAATTGGAGGTCTAGGGCTTAGGGTAATCCGTTAATTAGTTGTTATCATATGTTATATCATCATATTATACTAATTCTACAAATTAAAATTCAAAATCCGACTCCTTAAGACTAGTTTTTGAGTTGAGTGCATTGAACGCACTCTTTTTTTTAGTGCGCCGAAGTAGTCACCATATATATATATATATATATATATATATATACTCTCCTAATATAAATATTAGTATAAATTAGAATATTTAACATACGTTCTAAAAAGGTATCAACCCAATTAAAAAATTAAAAAGTATGTGTAACACATTGAGTTGGTTCGTGTCACTCTCTTGATGATTTGTTGCCTTTCGCAAAGCATTTTTGTAAATGGTGCACCCCTTACGGCATGTTTGGATATGTTAAAATTTTAGGAAATGGAATTCAATTTCTCATACTTTTTATAATTCACATGTTTGAAAGTAAAAAATAAATAAGAAATGGAATTCCAAGAGGTAAAAAATTGGAAATTATAATTCTCACATTTTTGAAAGTAAAAAATAAATAAGAAATGGAATTCCAAGGAGAAATAGAATTGATGGACCCCACTCAAATTTTGACACATCTTTACAAGAAAGTCCTTAATAATGATAAGAATTTTGGCCAATATATGGGTATTACGGTAAAAACACTTGTAAGAAATCATTTCCATCTTCTCCAAACATAAAAACATGAAATCATTTTTAAAACTTTAGGATTTGTTCCAAACATAAAATATTTGAAAGATCAACCATTCTCATTTACATACACTGTAATTTTCATACTTGACTAACTATTATACCTAAGTTATCAGTTTTCCTCCCGACCCCTTACCCTCTCCCTCCGCCCCTGGTTGGAATGTAATTGGAATTGTGCCAGAGGAATGACTCAGAGCATTATCACAAATATTTGATAAGCACACTAGAAACCTTCTAATACAAACCACAAACACGATAAAACAAACCACAAAAAGCATACCTAAAACCTTCTAATGCAAACCACGAGTCTCCTAAAATATACCAGAAACACCACAAAGCAAACCACAAATATTTATAAATCACACCAAAAACTTCATAATACCAACCACAAACATGGTAAAGAAACCCACAAAAAGCATACCAAAAACCTTCTAAAGCAAACCACAAGCCTCCTAAAACATACCAGAATCCCCACAAATCATACCACAAAGATTTCAAAAGAACACCAGAAAACCCATAATGCAAACCACAAACAAGATAAAGCATACCACAAAAAGCAAACCAAAATATTTCGGTATCCCAATCCCAAAATATTTCGGTATCCCAATCGGTATTATCGTATACGGAATTAATTACATTTGAAATAAATAATTAAATATATAAATTAGATTTGATTGTTTAATTTAGGGCAAAGAGTCTTGAGTTTGCCTATAGCTAGGATATGGACTAGGAGAATGAAGGAGAGGTGACATCTCAAGTTCTTGTCATTGGTAATCTTTAGTTTGACGAATTAAAAGCCGAGAGTCGACTAATACTAGTGTTTGTTTTTTGGTGTTATGAAAATAACAAGTTATTAGGTGAGAGATGAGAGTGACTTAAATTAGAAAGTCAAAATTGAGTTGGATGGGAACTTTTGAGTTGTGAAACAAAGATGAAATGATCTATGTATAATTAAATGACACTCTTGGTAGTTGAGAGTTGTGTAGTAGTTAATGAGAGAGTCTAGTTGAGAGGATGAAATACACACTAGCTTATATTTTGGTATTTACCGAAATATACCGATCCCAATCCCGTAATCTCTAATACCGAATTACAATTGAAATTCAATCCCAATCTCAATCCTAAGAAATAATATGTGTATTCAATAATATCAAACATAAACAAATTCGATACGATATTTGATATATCCCAAATACCGGTAGCAAACTTCCAGCCCTAAATCCAAAGCAAGAACTAGTAGTTTGGGACATGGGAGGACTGAGGTAGGGATGGCAACAAAACCCAAACCCACGGGTACCCACCCGACCCAACCCGGTCAACGTGGGTAAAATCCGTGTTGACGGGTTTTGGGCCGGGTTTGGGTTTCAACCCGTTCACTATTCACCGGGTTGGGTTGGATTTGGGTTTAGGTAAACCCGGCCCGTGGGTACCCGCCCATCCATATAATTAATTTTTTCGGTATATTTAATAATCTAAACAACTAATCTTATTTATATTTGTGGAGACATGTCTAATTTTTTCTTTTTAATTGTGTAGAATGAAGTTGATGTTATGGAGTGGAGAGTAAAGAAACTTAATTGAAAGAAAGAAGCTTTCAATTAAACATGTTATTTATGGATAATTTGTGATTTGCTTCAATTTTCTTGAGTTTTCTAGATTGGTGTTGAACAATTTGTATAGTTAATTTGTGATTTGCTTGAATTTTCTAGAATGGTGTTTTATATATGGATAATTTGTATTGAGAGATTGATATTTGTCTTTAATTTTGATAAGAACTTGTAATTGTAAATTTTTTACGACAAAACCCGTGGGTACCCATGAACCCGCGGATACCCAACGGGTTGGGTTGGGTTTGAGTTTTGCAAACCCAGTGGGTTTTACCCCGGGTTTTTTTCAAAGATAAACCCATGGATTTGGGTTTGGGTTTGGCAAAACCCGACCCAACCCGACCCATTGCCATCCCTAGACTGAGGAGATGATATCCATGTAGGCTGAATGAAGCGCCGAAAACGCACCGTATCACGGCGGTTCGCTCGCCTTCCTCTCTCTTCCGATGTCTGCAACTGAAACAAAAATGGAGCCTCGATATCATCGTTAGTTGTGAATGGAGCTCCAGCACACACCTCCAAACAAAAGCCAGCCGTAGTTAAAATTCCTCCAAACCTTACGCCTCTCCTTCTTCTTCCTCTAATCTCTTTCGATCCATCCAAAACCCCCCCTTTTCTCTGGAGTAGAGAAACCAACCATGGCTGCAATCTCCAACTCTCTGGTTGTCTCCAGAAACCCTCAGCTCCCCAACCTCTCTTCCGGTAATTCCTTCCTTCGCTTCCTTACATCCCCCATTACTTCCCATTCCAAAATCGGAGCAGCATCGAGCTGTTTTCTGCTTCTTCAGCTTCCATTTCTTGCTTGTTATGCTCGCTAACTGTCTATTGTTCTTCTTCCAGGTGTTGCACCTACAGTGTTGTCCTTCAATCCCACTCGCCCTCGGAACCTCCGAGTTGGTCCCTCGAGAAGGTCGCTCGTCGTTCAAGCTGCCTACAGGTACCATTACCTCTCCCTATCTTATGGCTTTGAACTTGGGATTGATTGAAGGCAGGATTTGCATCTTGTAGTAGCTATGGTGTTAGTTTTGGTTTATAGAATCTGTAATTGCTATAGTGAATCAGACGTTTAGCTGGCGTTAGCTTCGTCGACTTCTGCAGTTGATTCATTCTAGAGATGGTCCAGGGTTACTTGCTTGTTGTGGTTTGTACCATTTCCTAGCCTCATTTTTTTGGTGAATTGGATGTTGAATTTTGGCTTTACAGTGATGGTGAAAGATCAGGATCGGGTAGTTCTGGAATCTTTATCGGCGGGTTTGTACTGGGAGGACTTATTGTTGGTGCGCTTGGATGTGTTTATGCACCTCAGGTTCGATTGTCTTCTCTTTCTGGATCCTTCTTTGGCTGTATAAAGAATTTGATTCCTCTTTCATGTTGATCCTTAGAAAAGCTACTGCGAAAATGGTTCAGTGTGCTGTAGACCGACCGGCTTGTGAGTTTCTTGTTTCTGTTGTTGTTGTCGATTTTAGATCAGCAAGGCATTAGCTGGAACTGATAGGAAGGACCTAATGAGGAAACTCCCCAAGTTCATCTATGATGAAGAGAAGGCTTTGGAGGTTAGCTCTTTCTTCCTCTCCCTTTACATTTACCTTTCGACAGTTCATTCTTGCGTTGTGGTGCCTCGACCGTTCGGCTATTTCGGTTTGTTCTGATCTTAAAGGTTACTAAAGTCTGTAGAAAAGCTGTCATTTGTTCTACGCATTGATATACTTTCTCAGTAGTACTATTTCTTGCCTTATCTGCTGGCAGCTTGTATTTCGTCTGTGGTCTGAGTTCTGACGAACTTTCTTCATGGCTATCCGCTATGCCATTTCGCTACTTTGTTTTGCAATGCATAACCAACCTGATATTGCCGAGTCAGCATCTGTTCTAGTTCAGGCAATGCAACTTATTGATGGAAACCCTTCTAATGACATCCTCCTCTTTCGCTTGTTTTGTTTGCAGAAAACACGGAAAATATTGAGCGAGAAGATAGCACAACTGAACTCGGCCATCGATGATGTGTCCTCTCAGCTCAGATCGGAAGATGCCCCTGAAGAAGACATGTCCGTGAACCCCGATGAAATCGAAGCTGCTCTTTGAGAAAATCTCTGTGTTTGTCTTGTGTTCTCTCGTTGCATTGTTGGTATACAGTTTACGACGCGGTCAGTAATTTTTTTGAGAACTCTGAAATAACAACAGCTGAAACTCATCTCAATGCGCTTCTTAATAGCTGTTTCCTTGCTGTGCCTTGCCTCCCAAGTACGAAATAGTGTATGCTGTTTGCCTCGTACGAAGGCAGCAGCGGTCATTTGGACAGGATTTATATACACTTTACACTTCTGTCTATTGTCATTGTAATCGAATGCTCTCATATCGACTCTTGAAAGTAGTTTAATCGATCTTGGATTCGTTGGGAATTTGAGAGTTACACCAGCTTGAATTCGCCCGGTCGCTGAAGCTGTGGTTAGGAGAAATAGTATCCCTGATCATATCATCCGATCTTGACATAGATATTGTTGTATGCCACAAAGTCTTCTCGACCATCGACTTTCAACCCTTACCAGCCAGAAAATGGCACAGTTGGAAAATCTACTGGATGAGACGAAATGTTGCCTCTCGTTCTGATAGAAGCGCAATCAGGCATAAACACTGAGATCTTATCCCCACAGATTTTGTTCTCGCCCACACGTTCTCTAGAAGAACTAAGGTCCATAGATTTTCCTAAGTGTTGGAAAATATACGAGAAAAAACAAAGTGAAAAGCTAAAGAAAACGTATTGCAGCTGGTACTCCTATATATGTGAAGCATAGGAATCAAGCTATTAGCTTTAGAACCTTCAGCTTTGCAGCAGCAGCCATGGCCACTCACGCAGCTCTTGCTCCTTCGAGAGTTCCTGCCAGCACCAGGCTTCCTTCTTCCAAGATCACCGCTCATTCTTTCCCTTCACAATGCTCCACCAAGGTTAACCTGTCTTCCTCCATTTCTTCATCTCTGTCTCCTTCACTTCTGCATGTGAATTAAGCTCTTTATTTTGAGTTCTGCAGAGGCTGGAAGTTGCAGAGTTTTCAGGGCTTCGTGCCACTCCTGGCGTGATGTACGCCAAGAACACTACTGAGGCATCCTTCTTCGACTCTGTTGCTGCTCAGCTCGCTCCCAAGGTTAGTGTTGAACTGTTGATCATGTTTACAGCCACATGAATTTGATTGACTGCATAAGCTTTAGTAAGTGTTGATGTCTTGAATTCAAAGTCATCCATTTAGTTTACGGCTTTTAAATCTACATTGGAATTAGGCTGCAGCCGCCACTCCTGTAAGGGCGGAGACTGTTGCCAAATTGAAGGTGGCGATCAATGGATTTGGAAGAATTGGTAGGAACTTCCTGCGGTGCTGGCACGGCCGCAAGGACTCACCTCTGGATGTTATTGTTGTCAATGACAGTGGTGGTGTTAAGAATGTAAGTAACCTCTGATATCTAACTTGTAAACAAGTTATCAGTTTCCATGGGAAGAAATGAGAGATCCGTGTGTTTCTGCAGGCTTCCCACTTGCTGAAGTATGATTCGATGCTCGGAACTTTCAAAGCTGAGGTGAAGATTGTCGATGATTCCACCATCAGTGTTGATGGAAAGCCCATCAAAGTCGTCTCCAGCAGGGACCCCCTCAAGCTTCCATGGGCTGAGATGGGGATCGACATTGTCATCGAGGTAATCAAGCAAACCAACTTGTTTTGGAACCGCCGTTTTAATCTGGATTGTGGTTTGATTCATCATTCGACATGTCTTCACAGGGAACAGGAGTGTTCGTTGATGGCCCTGGCGCAGGAAAGCACCTTCAAGCTGGTGCCAAGAAGGTGATCATCACAGCTCCTGCCAAAGGTGCCGACATTCCAACCTATGTGTTTGGTGTTAACGAGCAGGATTACTCCCATGAGGTTGCCGACATTATAAGGTAGGCATCTTCAATGCTGATCTTTGAATGGACCTTCGCAAATCAGTATGAACAAACGACCAATTCTATATTTGATGCTTTGATGCAGCAATGCTTCCTGCACCACGAACTGTCTGGCTCCATTCGTCAAAGTCATCGATGAGGAATTTGGTAGGGAGGCTCCCATCTCGATTCACCATCGGAACCCACCTGTTGTTAAAGCTTGAGTTTCAAGTAACTGATCCTTTTAGTTATTTTGCAGGCATTGTCAAGGGAACAATGACAACCACCCACTCCTACACTGGAGACCAGGTACTTACTATGATTCGATCATCCAATCATTCGTAATCAAGCAATCACAAACAGAAAGTTCACTTATCCTAAAAGAGTTTCGGCTTCCTCCTGGTGATTCTGCAGAGGCTGCTGGATGCTTCCCACAGGGACCTGAGGAGAGCCAGGGCTGCAGCTCTCAACATCGTCCCAACAAGCACCGGTGCAGCGAAAGCAGTGTCGCTAGTCCTCCCTCAGCTCAAGGGCAAGCTCAACGGCATCGCCCTCCGAGTCCCCACGCCCAATGTCTCGGTGGTCGACCTCGTTGTGAACGTGGCGAAGAAAGGAATCTCGGCTGAGGATGTCAATGCAGCCTTCAGGAAGGCCGCAGAGGGACCATTGAAGGGCATATTGGATGTCTGCGATGTTCCCCTTGTCTCTGTGGACTTCAGGTGCACCGATGTCTCGTCCACCATCGACTCCTCATTGACCATGGTGATGGGTGATGATATGGTGAAGGTGGTCGCCTGGTATGACAATGAATGGGGATACAGGTCAGTTTAACAAAACTCAAATGGAACTAATTAAAGCTCTTAGCTTTGTAAGGGAAGTGACACTAAGTTTGAGTCTTTTTGTTGTTGGATTGAAACAGCCAAAGGGTGGTTGATTTGGCACACTTGGTAGCCAACCAATGGCCAGGAGTTGCTGCTAAAGGAAGTGGAGATCCATTGGAGGACTTCTGCGAGACAAACCCTTCTGAGGAGGAATGCAAAGTATATGAAGCTTAGTAGATAGATGAATGAACATCTTGGATTCCCTTTCTTATTTTTCAATTTTTGGGTTTCTTCCTTCTCTCTTGTGGAGAGAGATTGGTGCAAGAGGATCCTGTTTCTGTAACGAGCAGATCAATGGTTTCATGGTTGTGAAGAAAATAAGGCTATGTTGTTAACAGAAGCTCTTGGAATTAAAGTTCAAATTCATGATTTATGTTTTGCATAAAGAACTGAGAGTAACGCAAACCTGAGGGGAGAGAGGATTGGCGGCGAAACTCCAGTTAGGGGAGGAACTCAGTGGCGGGAAGATGAAGATAAACCCGACGCCGCTGCTCCGATCTTCAAGCTGGCGCGAACAGAGTACAGCGAGGTGATCCATTGAACAAGGTCAACTCCAGCGAGAACAGAGAAACCTGGATGATCCACCAGAACGAAACCCGAAACCCGTGCAAAAACGTTAAACCAACACCACAAAAGCGAAACGTTTCGGATCCTCAAACTAAAAAAGCAACATATGTTGCGATAAAATCGCGATATATTGGGGTGGCCGGTGGCGCGATATTTTCAGTGGACGCGGCCGCGGCCGCCGGGATGGGACATTTGGAATAGCAGAAAATTGCATTCAAAATTTAGGAAAATACATAATATAGGACACCAAAAATGTAGGAAAATATATAAATCTAAAAGATAGAAAATCACACACGATAAACGGTCACAAATATTTGTATTTAGTACAAAATTGTCACAAACCTTTAATTTGTAATGTCTCGGTAATAATCCTTTACACTTAGTACAAAACTATCACAAATAAATACCATTAACTTTTGTTATCGTGTTTTTACAAATTAGAGATTTGTGACCGTTTTGAGGTCAGATTGTGTGTTCATCAAGTATATGACACTAACCAGTTGAACGATATTTAAGATAGTCGTCAAGTATATGAGAATAATGACTACATTTCTGTTGTGGCTACCATCTTCTAAAAGTATCCTGATATCCTTCCCAAGTTTGAGATGAAGCGTGTATTGGCTAGGACTCGGAGACACTCATGGAAACGTGTTGTTTCCAAAATATCATCGATATACAATTTGCCGAATAAGAATGTCTTTTGCTGACCTTTCAATTTTAATAAAAAAAAGTAAGATAATAGGCCGCATTCCTTCAATTGAAAAGCAACCCGCAAACCGTTTGTGAGGCGTTCAATTTCCTTATTGTCGTCCTTTGTTATGATCATATTGTCCAAATTGACATAGTCACCATACCTCGACTGGAGTGAACTATAAACAAAGATTAATCATTTAAATATTTGACCTTTGTACAAAATAGTCACAAAATTTTAATTTATAAAATGGTCACACTCACTTCTAATTAATTTGTAATCGTTTTCTACTATGTGCATTGATTTATTATTGAATCGTTACAAATTAAAGATTTGTAACCATTTTGTACTAAGTGCAAAGAATAGTGACTGTTTAGGTTAATTACCATTTATATCACGATAGCGTCAACGGAGCAAAACCTCCGCCAGAATCATTTCGTAGAACCCTGAAAAACTGCAACTCCCCACCCCCATTCCCCGTCACTTCCAGCCGAAGGAACCCCTAATTACGCAAACCCTTAACAGCCAATTACCTCTCCCAATTGGAAGATTCACTCGGCGGAGAACTGCATGTCTCAGGATGAGACGATGTCTTGTACTTCGTATGTTTTTAATGGTGATGCTGTCGCCGTTGATACGCTGCATCTCCAGCTCAGCCGTCCCCCGGACGTTTCTCTCCGATCAGAGTAGCCGGGCATCCAGCCCTTTCAAATCCCTTCTCCCCCCAATCCCGTAAGTACTTCCAAGACTTAAGCCCTTGGGAAAGTTCTGATTTTTCTGTGTCTGGCGAATATGGGTCGATGAGGAATAAAGTTAGGATAGCTGCTGATCCATGCTCGATCCATTTCTTAGGTGTTTGGTTTCTATCTGTTGAGTTTCTTGAATAGGCTAGGGTGTCGATCCCCAATTGGCTGCTCATTTCCGTGCTCATTGTTTACTTTGTTGATTTATCCCGTCATTGCTTGCTTGTGGTTTGATTCAGCAAGCGTGAAGTTGCAGTGGTGGCTGCTTTGGATGGAACTGTTTACTTGGTTGATGCTAGCTCAGGGAAGATTCGCTGGTCCTTCCCTACTGGATCGCCTATATATTCTTCTTATCAGGCTGCACTTGATAATGACGATGATGGGCTTAACGCTTCTAAATTGAGCGACGACTTATATTACGTCGACTGTGGGGATGATTGGGACCTCTACCTGCATAGCAAGCACCTTGGTAAACTGGTAGACTAACCCTCCATTCGCTAGCTCAAATTGATCTCTTCCGTTCTATCAAATTTTGCATCTTAATGGAAATATGCAGTAATTTCCCATTGGATATGAGAAAACTGAATTGGTATTGTCCTGTTCCACTGTTTCACAGCAAAAACTGTCTCTAAGTGCTGATGAGTACATCAGGAGGACACCACACATATCAGAGGATGGCGAGATTACATTGGGGAATAAAAGACTACTGCATTTCTTGTTGATGCCAAGACTGGAAGGGTAGTTCGCTCTTTTGCACTGGATAACTCTCCTAATGGGGGATTTCAGAGTGCTGAAGAAAATGCCCTTCGTTTGGTGAATGGCCCTGAAGAGTTGGTGGAAGCAGGTGTTACTGACTTGGGAACTTTTGAGAATCTGGTTTACATTACAAGGACTGATTATGTGTTGCAGCACTACTCGCCAAACTCCAGTAAAGTCTTGTGGAACGTGGCATTTGCAGAGATTGAGGCTGAGTTTCGATGTCAAGATGGTAGGAGTTTCTTCGATGGGATGTCTCCTGATGCAAATGTGGGAAGAAATGAAATTGAATGGCAATTTCCTTGTCAAGTGAAGACTGCTGCCATGCGCATTCGGGAGCAGAATGTGCTGCCATATGAGAAACTAGCAATTAGTCATCTCCAATATGGAGGCATAGCTCAGTTCTTACCTACCAAGGATCAGCTTCCTGCTTTAGGGCCTGTTTACAGACTTCCAGCAGCTCTTCCCACTAATGCAGGCAGAACTACTCTTGCTTTGCCTTCATCTGATATCTTGAATGGGGATCCCCTTGTAGCAAAATATAGTACCAGTTGGCCTTCCGAAATAGCAGCCAAGTCTCACATGTGGTCTAGCGTAGTCACTATTCTCTCCATTATTGGTGTCATCATCTATAATTATATAGCGGGTAGGAAACGGAGCAAGCTGGGTAAACCAGTAGAAGAACGTAAAACACATTCTGGAATGCCCAAAAAGAAGAAAAATAAGAGAGCAGGAGCAGGAAACAACAAGAACCATTCCTCAAAGACAAATGTCTCTCAGGGCGGTAATGTTGGAGGCACTGATGAAACTGAGGATGGTGAAGGAAATAATAGAAAGATACCACAAAGTCTTATGGATATTATTGGTCATGTAGATGGACGTAGAATTGGCAGGTTATTGGTTTCAAGCAAAGAAATTGCCAAGGGTAGTAATGGAACGGTGGTGCTTGAGGGGATTTATGATGGCCGTCCTGTAGCTGTTAAACGCCTTGTGCAGACACACCATGATGTTGCTATCAAAGAGATTCAGAATCTTATTGCTTCTGATCAGCATTCCAACATTGTTAGATGGTACGGTGTGGAGCATGATCAAGATTTTATTTATCTTGCTCTGGAGCGTTGCCGATGCAGCTTGAGTGACTTCGTCTATGTGCACTCTGGTACATTTCAAAGCCAAATGAATCCTGAAGGACAAGAGCCTGGCAGTTTGCCCGAGTCTACCACTAGGATATGTACAATCCTGCAGCAGAATAAGAACGTTGAGCTGTGGAAGTCAAAGGGTTACCCTTCTCCCCTTTTGTTAAAACTGATGAGGTGTGTTTATATTTGCTCCCTTCTCTCTTTTATTGCTTATTGGGTTTACAAATATTGGGTGCAATCAGTGGAGATGAAGTTGCCATTAATTTTGTTTTCTTCTGTCAGCTCAAGTTCTCTCTTCGTTCAAATCTGTAGTATTGTCGTTCCCAGAATCTCTGGGCTATTTCAATGTGAGGTTTCAGAAAATGCACATGTATTTGATTAAGAAGTGTTCAATCTGCAGGGACATAGTTTCTGGCCTTGCTCATTTGCATGAACTTGGGATAATTCATCGGGACTTGAAGCCCCAGAATGTCTTGATAATCAGCGAAAAATCATATTGTGCTAAACTTTCGGATATGGGTATTAGCAAGCGCCTTCTTGGAGACATGTCTTCCTTAACTCATCATGCAACTGGTAAGTATGGCAGGTATCAGATTATTGAAACTATGTTATAAAGGGTTAGAGAGAAACTTTTAAGACTGGCTTTGGATATTTATCTGAAGCAAAGCAATTGCTACTTTTGCAGGCTATGGAAGTTCAGGCTGGCAAGCTCCTGAGCAACTTCTCCAAGGGCGGCAAACACGTGCAGTAGACTTATTTAGTTTAGGCTGTGTTCTATTCTTCTGCATTACTGGGGGTAAGCACCCGTTCGGGACAGCATTGAACGAGATGTAAATATTGTGAATGATAAGAAAGACTTATTCTTGATAGAGAACATACCGGAAGCCGTCGACCTTTTCACTTCCCTCCTGGATCCCAACCCTGATAAGAGGTAAACCACATTTCCTTGTAAATCTGGTCCGCATTTTTCTCTTTATTTTCATCATGTATTCCATATAATTTGAGTTGTCTCGATCTTTGTAGACCAAAGGCCGAAGAAGTTGCGATTCATCCCTTTTTTTGGCCACCAGAGAAGAGACTCACATTCCTTCAGGATGTGAGCGATCGTGTTGAACTGGAAGACAGAGAAACTGAGTCAGACCTCCTTACTGCGTTAGAGAGCATCGGAGCTACAGCATTAGATGGGAAATGGGATGAGAAGATGGAAGCCGCTTTCCTGAACAATATCGGCCGTTACAGGAAGTACAAGTTTGATAGCGTTCGAGACTTGCTCCGTGTCATACGCAACAAGTCCCATCACTACAGAGAGCTTCCTAAGGAGATCCAGGAGCTGCTTGGGTCGCACCCTGAAGGTTTTGAGAGCTACTTCTCTAATCGGTTCCCGAACCTCCTGATCGAGGTGTACAAAGTGATATGCAGCCATTGCTCAGAGGAGGAATTCTTCTGGAAGTACTTGCAGCAGACTAATGTAATTTAACCAATAGAGCAGTTGTAGAAAACGCTAATTGTAATGCATGGCAATATGGCATGAGCCATCTGTTGTACACAAGAACCAGTGAGCGTTTACAAATAAAAGTTCAGTCTTCCATTTTTAGAGCAGGATCATGCGACTATATGAATATGACCATGTGGATAAAGTGATTACTGGTTTTACGATAGGGATGGCAAAAATATGACCAGAATTTAAGTGGATTTAAATAAACTACATCTAATGATATGATAGGGAAGTTGAAAATACCACTATACAATTGATTCTACCCTATGCTATCTTTTTGTACTTGAATTTAACTAATGATTATAGTAATTTAGGGTTGAGGTGGACGTTGGACAGGTTACCAATTCTACTCAAATCGGCCAACTAAAATCTACTCACAAACGATATGAATGATGAGGTGAATGGATGTGAGTTGCTTCCAACCAGACCCATCATAATTTGAGTGATGCCTGTCTCTATGCTAAAATCGTCAATTCACATCCATTTAAATTCATTTACCAGCACAATCTTCTTTCATCATCTCCTCAATCCTCAATCTTTCCTTCAATATATTCAGGCAAAATCATGATCTTGTAGCTCCATCTGATGATTTCAAGAAGAAATATGGTGAAATTTTTAATTATCATAAAAAATATATATATCTATTTCCAACTTCAAATTTATTCTTAACTAATTCTCAATTGAATCTTTCGTTCTTCAAAGTTTTGTTACAAACTTCCTCTGTTTTTAATCAAATTCCTTTCTTTCAGTAATTAGTTGTCATCGATCTATTCTTAGTCAAAATCGCGCTTTAAAACTTAAAAACTTACGATTTTACGTTTCTAGGTCACTAAAACGCTTCTACACAAAATCTCAATTTTTATAACTTATGTAGTTAAAAACTCCGCTTTAAAACTTAAACACATACGATTTTACGCTTCTAGATCACCAAAACGTTTCTACGTAAAAACTCGCTTTTGACTACATTGAATCTTACCAAGTCTCCAGCAATAACATGCATTGATGTTTTTCTCATCTAATATTGTCGCTAGGAGCTTATATTTTCTTTATGGGTTTATTTTCGTTGATATTTGGATTTGGATTTGAATTTATTTTGACTCGAGTTTATTTTCTATTTTATGAAAATCATTTTACTCATCCAAATACACTTGTAAACCACATTAACCAGCCCACTAATGCATATTTGGATGAGTGTGAGTCGTATTATTGTCACCCACTTATTCTTATTTATGAGTAAGTTTTCGTCCAAACCTCATTTAACTTAGCCAATGCTTATCCCTAATTCGCGGCTTCTATATTCCGGTGTTAAGATATCCCTACCAAGATTGTGACCTGACCTTCCATTATGTTACCAATTTCTTACACAATCATAATGAAGAGCAGCCTCCTCTTTGAGACCCTTCAATACAAATTTCTCTACAAAAGCAATACATATCTTTTCTTTTTGTTGATTTACACAATGATCAACTCTTACTCTTACTCGGGATTAATCCCATTCCCATTCATGTTCCTTCTCGGTATCTCCATTTCTACTTCTCTCCTCTCATTCTTCTCAAACTCACCCACCCTGCTACTATCAGAAAGTGAAGTCTCCAACTTCCTCCTCTTACTACCCCTACCCTTCTTGGAAGTGTCTTTCTTCTCATCCATTATCGACAGCAGACGATGAATACTCCGAGAACGGGACGAGCTCCCCTGACCAGACTCTATAGCTTCATTAGGCTCACTTCTATAAAGTTTCCTGATAACCTGCACAAAGTATATGACAAGAGCTACAAAGCATGCCACCCCACATATCAAGAAAAGACCAATGAAGCTCTTGAGATGGAGCCTGTCTGATTCGATCTCTGAAGTCTCCGAGCTGCAACTGGACCCCGCCAGCCACTTATCATGGATCCTTTGGAGATCCCCGTTCTCCGATAGCTCCAGGATCGCGGTTGATATGTCGACAGCCAGTGGGGAGTCTCGCGGAAATGCCTTCCAGCACAAGAAACAAGGTGAAAAAAGTTTCTTCTGGAACAAGTAACTAGTAAGAGCTTTCAGTAATGTGACTAGTTATGGTTTCCAGATACTTACAAATCCCCAACCACTTTTGGTAAACTCTTGACCCACGATTCGGAACGTGCACTGAGATGCTAGGAAGAGTTCCACATAGGGGAGTTCATCGACAATTGCAGCAACTCCTCCATTCTTGGGACCCTTTTGGAGGGCTGCAGCATATTCTTCAGGTGATCCAAGTTCAATCAGCCGAGACTTTGGTATGCGTAGCTCCTCTCCCAGATAATATTCAGCAAAGGAACCTGTTTGATATCCTATAGGGTCATTGCCTTCCTTCAAGCTTTCGATTCCTTTTGATTGGAGAAAAGAGCTGTTGTACTGTGAGGATTGATGTGAGGCTTGCTGTGTAGCTGGAGTTGATTATGAGAACCACAAAGAGCCATATTAGTAGCACCATCCGTCCAAGAGCGCTCACAGTGTTCTCTTCCTGTCAAAGCAAAGAGAAATTCAAGTCCGTAGATGGTGTTCAATTCTCATGAACGGGTCATTAATTTTTAATGTACTTGCAACTGAAGTTTGTAACTAACACAACAGTCAGTCCTTCACATGACTAGTTATTGACCCAAACATCATAACCAAAACTCACTGCACAAGCTAAAAGAGGCACTCACTGTGGGCAAAAACAAAGTTGAGAGGCTGAACCTGAAAAGATTGTCACGAACATATCAGCCACAACTTTCTGTTATAGAGACAACCATGACCATTTTGGTCAAGAAAACTCACCATAAAACAGTAATCATCTGTCTTTTCGGAGGACCTCTGAATTCGTCATTGATCCTGTGCTCCAGTACCCACACAACAATGCCAACAGCAAGGAAGAAACAACCAGTGACGATCCACATGAGGGGACTAAAGGGTCTAAGGAAAGCCCATGCCCCTGTGTTCATCTTCCTGAATGGAACCACCACAACCAGCCCAGATGCCACGTAAGGCTGTGAAAAGTCTACTATCTTTGTTCTGTTAGTAACAATGGCAATGTCACCAATAGCAGCATCAAGAACCTTGAAAAGAAAGGGGAAAAGAGAATACTGTAAGGACACCATTTGGTTGAAACATAGAAGTCAATTACATAAATGGTCACTGAACTTTAGGGTCAATGAACTTTATTCTACTTTCTCACCAAGCAAACATATAATTGCAAAAGGCACCCTAAAGACGCAAAGTTAACCCTACTTGACATTCTAGCAAAACAGTGGTAAGCATCTACTACTACTCACTCCGTTGTAGACTGAATTCACTATATCCATGTAGCTGGGGTTCTTCTTCCCATCTCCAACAGGAACAAACTGATAAGGAACAGGATACTGCAACAAGTTCACAGCAGCAGTGAAAACATCTATACAAAACCCTTGGAACTTGTCAGGTGTTCCTCTGACTGGCGACACAAACTCCTTGAAGCTAACTCGAATAGGCACACCAATCCTCAATTGCTTCCCATTGTTAGGGAAAACCCATCCACGAGGCTTTACCGATGTCTCACCGGGCCAAATCACACTATACAGCTGCTGGTCAGCACTAGAACGATTCGGTGGACTCATGTAAAGTGTCTCAGGAGTCACAGTTGACAAACCAGAATAATTTGACCAGTAACCAACCCTTCTAAACCCAGTACCAACCACATTAATCACATCATAAGCTGGAAGGGTCAGAGATCGATCTGGTTCGAATTTAATACGACCAGTCAAACCAACAACATCGCCCTGCAGTATGTTCCCCAGGAGAAGCTTCCCATCATTGAAAATGCTCATTGCATCCAAGTGAAGGTTACTGTCTCCTCCTGTACTCAACCTTGAGTCATTAGAAAATGAGATGACCCCACCTTGGTTGAAGAACTTATCGATGGCTTGAGCAACAAGCCACACGGAATCATAAGCAAACAGGCCATAAGAGTTCAGACCAGGAAAACCACCACTGTTCCACCTAGAGACGAATGCCTTCTTTCGATCTGAATCTGCAGTATGCTGGCGGAGCACAAGGGCTCCTTTTATCTTCTCCATAGTATCAGAATCAAGTGGTGTAGAATCGAGCACAGACGAAAGCCAATCTGTTGCTATCCATACATAACCATTCCCCATCATTCCCAAATAATTCGCCATAGAGAAGATCTCGAAGCCCTTTTGAGGATAGACATGAAGAACAATGACCCGAGATTCCATCATTGCCACCTTGACAAGAAGGTCCATTGTGTCACTTGAGTTAGCACCAGATTCAGGAGGGATTCCCACTTTGTAGGAGATTTTGCAGCGCCTCTCAGCAAGCTTATCACCTAGAGCTGAAAGGCCATTTCGTCCATAGTCATCGTCGATGTAGATAGCAGTTACTTGCTTCCAGTTATAGTAGTCCACCATCTCGGCCACTGCAGCCATTTGGTAAGCATCACTATGTGTCGTTCTGACGAAGAAGGGGAACTGAAGCGAATCGAGAGTTGGGTCAGTTGCTGCAAATGAGAGGAGGGGTACTTGAAGCTCGTTTGCCACATGAGATATGATATGGGCGACTACAGAAGACTGTGGACCAATGATGGCGATGGTATCAGTCTCCATGAATTGCAGCGCTGCCATTAGCACAAGGACATTGTATGGTTTTAATCTTGAGCTTACACACAACATGCGGACGCAACACAAGCAAAGACATATTCAAGGTGAGATGGTAGATAGTAAGTTACCTTCAACCATGCCAACGAACCCACTGCAGTTAGTGTTCTGCATCTGCACTTTCAGAGTAGTTCCAGGTAAGATGCTTGAATTTGCATTCACATCTTTGACAGCTTCCTCGATGGCAATCTTAGCAACTCTTCCAATTGAGGACTCAAATGTGAAAAGGGCTCCAATGTTTACTACAGCAGGCCTGGAGGTACCATTTCCACTGTGGCCACCAGGGAATAGTCTAAACAAGAGGAACACGAGCAGAAGAGACCTAATTGTCCTCATTCGAAGCCAAGAATGCCAACCTGATTTCAAACTGTCCATTGACTTTGTGCCCAATCAATTCATGAGAACCTAGAGATTGGTAATAAAAGTTGGGAGTGAACTTCCATCAGAATTGTCAATTTATACCAACAAAAAGCATGCCAAGTAATTGCATTTCAAAAATAATCAAGGACCTACTGTT